ATAACCCTGAATGGCCTTTTGGGAGGACCAGGAATTGAACTGGGCTTCCCATGTGATTCCAGCATCTTAGCAGTATGTGACACCATAGCTGGGCCAACAACGTTTGTGAATATCAATTTAAGTGGAGGGTGTCATGCTAGGCCCTCCTTGAATTGCAAAGCAAAAAGAAACACAGTCCACTTGCCCGACATTGTGGAGGGTGGGGCCGGGGCAGAAAGCATGCAAGTACAGGGACCAGCAGTTAGCATAATGGCTATGTCACTGAACTCCCATGTAATCAACCACAGTTCAAGTCCCGGACCCGGTGGCTTAAACTCTCACCAGTGCATGTGCGTGTGTGCCCAAGATCCTGAGAGGAGAATGGAGAAGGGATTGCAGTATGGCCATCCCCCCTGGGGGGTGATTTGTCTCTGTCTCTCTCTCTGTCTGTCTGGTGAGTGCAGCTCCCTATAGCAAAAACCTCTCAAAAAAAAAAGAAAGAAAGAAAAGAAAAGAAAAGAGAAGAAAAAGAAAAAGAAAGAAAGAAAGTATGCAAGCACCCAAATAAGAACAGGCCAAGGCCATGGGGCAGTCGGTAAGTCCTGAAGGGCTTTTTAGGACACAGAAAGTTCCACTTCAATACGGTAGTTAATGATCTTTCGGCATCCTTCTCCAGGCCAGAAATTACAAACGAATTCCAGAAAGACTCGACAGACTGACGTCTTTCCGGGAAGGACAGCTGGAACGGAGAACTGCCCAGCCATGGCCCACGCTGCAGGCGGTCCGCAGCTGGCACCAGAGTCTTCTTTGGCAGGAATGGGAGATGGCAACGGAAGTCTGCCCTCCTGCCGGGGATCTCTGGTCACATCCGGTGCCTGTCCCGGAAAGGCTGGGGAAGAGGGCCCTAGTGGCTGCCTAGGCTTGGCCGTATCTTGGGGGAAGGGAGCTGGGAAGGCAAAGGCAGCGCAGGCCAGAAACCCAGAGCCAGCGACAGAGGGGGCGGGGCCTTGGACTGGGGCGGGGCCTTGGGAGGAGAGGGGCGGGGCCTCTAGCCCCGCCTCTTCTCCACCTAAGGGAGGAGCCAGGCTAGGACTCCGCTGCTCCCGCCTTGGGCGGGTGCACTTTTTGGGTTGAGTCTCTGTAGATACCTTGGATGTCAGAAGGCTGTCTGGATCTAGAGGGGAAAGTCCGGCCCTCTCTCGTCGGTCCCAGCTGCTTCTTCCCCAGGGCTTACTGCACGTGGAAGCCGGAGGGTCTTTTCCCTCTGCCCACTGAAGCGTCTTCCTTTGCTCCGAGAACAGGGGAAAACCTTCCCCTCCCTGCACCACCTCTCCTCACCTCCCACCTCAAGACAGAGCCAGTGGCTCTGCACGGCCTTTGTACAACCTAGTCCCTACATCGGGAACACCGTGCCCGCCCACCCTCATCTAGGTCCAACTTATTTTTCAGCCTTAGTTTTCTACTGGGAAAGCTTTCTCTGACCCCGCCCACCCCTTTATGGGCTCCGGAGCTTGCCCCACCTGGGCCTCAGCATCTCAGCATCCTACAAAACGCGCTTTCCTGATGGTGCCTCTGACCTTCCCCTTCCCTCCCACCCTCGCCCCTCAAGACTCTGGGGTCGCTGGTGCAGCATCTCCAGTGCCTGGCCCAAGCAGGGGGCTTAGTAAGATCATAAAACACCCAGCCAGCCGGTCCGCTGTGTCCTCTATTCCTCTGTAGATTGGAGACTCCTGAATTAGTTTCACCAATTTTTTTAAAGAATTATTTTATTTAACTTTATTTATCCATTTATTTATTTATCTTAATTTGACCAGAGAGTGAGAGCGTTAGAGAGAGTGAGAGAGAGTGTGAAAGCAAGCCGCCATATCCGGGAATCAAACCACAGTCTGCCATGTGGGAGTCCAGCATCCTTAACCACCATGCCACCTGCTGGCCCCAGCTTCATCTTTTAGAAAAGGACCACCTGGAGTGTGGGCAGGGAGGGGAGCAACTTGTTAAAATGCAGCTTGTTGGGCCTTACCCCAGGAATTTCTGATTCCATAGGTCTGGGGTAGGGGCTGAGAATGTGCACTTCCAAAATGTTCCCAGGTGAGCTGCTAGTCCAGGGACCCCACTTTAAGAATCACTATTGCAGAGCATCATTTTCTTCACTGGTAAAATGGAACAATTACTGTCCCTGCTGTCCGGGGTCTGGAGAGAATCCAATGAGAAAACACAAAAGAGGAATGGTGCCTGAACCCAGCAGGTGTTCAATGAGTGTCAGTGCATGCTCCAGGAGTGGGCAGGAGACATGCCAGGCAGGAAAAACATGCACAGGAGCAAAGGTGGAAAACCGCCCAAACAGGTCAGCTGGGCTGGCAGAAGAGACCCGGCATAACATCAGGGAGTCCAAGCTGCACTGTGGAAGCAGCTGGGAGCCATGCACAGTTCTGGAGCTGGGTGACAGATGGAAGCTGAACATGGCAACCCTGGGCAGGAGGCTGGTCCTAGCAGCAAGTCCCATGCACTGGAGTCTTGGCTGTTTGGACAGATTTACCTAATAAAAATAAAGATAAGTATATCCCAAATATTGCATGGAACATACTTATACTGAAAGATATTAATTGTATGCCCTGAAATTAAAAATAGGTGTCTTTTATTTTCATTTGATAAATCTGGTCATCCTAGCCAGATATCAGTTCTCTACCCTTCCAACACTCAAGCCTAAATGCTAGGGGAAGCCAGTCACAGGTTACAGAACTCCCTTCAATAAAGCCACAAGGAGTACCTGAAGAGCTGCTGCAGGCAGCCAGTCTTGCTGCTCCCGTCCTCCCACCTCAGGTTGGATTTCCCCATGGGGCGCAGGAAATAATCGTGTATCTGGGAATGATGAGTACATACGTGACCAAGTTCTACAGAGAGGAAGTGCCGCCTGCACACGTGGGTTAATGAGAAACAAACAGCACCCAGTGGTACAGGCCCACCTAGTGAGTGTGCCCAGGGAGAGGGGAGTTGGGCAAAGGACAAACACGATGTAGTAGGTTCAAAGGACGCTTCCAGATGCTGATGTAAACCACCCACTGGAGGATGGTCCTGCCTTATCAGGCTCAGTTGGGGGTTAGGACCAGTCATACCACTGGCGACTGCTGCTCTCCTCCCTCCTCCTCTCCCTATAATCACCAAATCCTGGATGATTCATGGTTCAGGAAACAAGCTTGTCAGAAATCCAATTTCTGCAACAACCTTTATAACAACTTTCTATTTTTTGTTTTATTCTAACAAGGAACATTGAAACAATTTGTGCTCCATCTTAAAACAAATGTGTGATAAACATTATGGAACATTTAAAGTGTGTCCTGCGCTGTGTTCAGTGCTCTATTTAGGAGCCATAGTTCTCAGCCTTGGTTGCATGTTACAACCACCTGGGAGTTGTTTTAGTTTGTTTTCAAGAAAAATTTAAGAAAAAAAAATTTTTTTTTTTTTTTTTAGTTTGCTTGCTGGAGAGAGACGCACAAAAAGGGAGAGAGATGCCACACCACAATCCCTTCTCCTCCACCCTCCTCTTGGGATTTTGGGCAGGTGCGCGCGTGCGCATACACACACACACACACACACACACACTCCGATGTGTTTTTCAAGCCCTTGGGTCCATCCTCAAAGTTGGTCATGTGGGAGTCCAGCGCCTTAGCCATCATGCCACCTGCTGGCCCTGTAAGGTAGGTTTTATCACTGTTTTGCACCGTTTTTTGTCACTGGGGGCTCCCAGAGGTAGACTGACTTTGGCATCTGTGGCCCCAACCTGTGACCTCTCCTTCCTTCCTTCCCAGGCTGCTTCAAGGGATTTCAGGTGTTTCCAGCGTTTCACTGTTACATATACTGCTGCCCCGACAGGTGTGTGACCACTTAGAGTTCTGCTCCCAGCAGGGCCCTTCTGGGACAACAGCCAGAGACACTGCCTGGGTTCAGGACTGATACTAAATACCTTTTGCTGAAGTGAGGACAACCCAGGCCAGTCACTGCCAAATAGGTTCTGTCATTTTGCATCGCAGACAAATGACAGCTAGCGCTCACTCCCGACCACCTGGTGCTGTCAAAGCTTGGCTCTTCGCCACTGTCGCTCTCCTCCTTCACCTTCTGAGCCTTCTTAGCGCGGAGTCTTTGCAGGGTCACATTTCTTCACAGTCTTGGATCCAGGAAAGGTCGCGAACCACAGAGAATGTACATTGAGCTTCCCAAAGGAGAAGCAGTTCTCTGGCCCTGACCTCGCCGGGGCACGCGAGCCGACCGACCTTGCCCAGACGCGAGCACACCAGGGTTTATGCGCAGTTCCCGCGGCGGGTACAGACTCAGGGAAGCTCAGCTGGGCGAGAAGGCTGGTCACCGCCTGCCCTCTGCTGGCCAGGGCTGGTATTGAGTCCGCTGCCGCTCGACCAGTTAGTCCGAGGAATGAAATTAAGCCGGCATTTATTGAGCACCTGTTGTATGTCAGGTACTGTACTGAATCCTGGGGTGTACGGATAGGTGTGACTTGCTCTTACGGAGCTCAAATTCAAATGAGAGGCAGACATTAGTCCGATAGTCATTCAAGCAAATATGAAATTACAACTGTGGGCTACGTGCATATCACACGAGGGTTCTGTCCAGTCTGTCGTGTCAGGGAAAGCTGCTTGCAGAAGGGGACGTTTGAGCGCTGGACTCCTCACAGGTCATTTAATGTAATCTCGAAAAACCTGGAGAGGGCTCCCCTTTGACAATGCAGGAAACGGGCTCAGATGGGGCAGAAACTTACAAGGTTACAAAGCGAGCTGGAAGCAAAGCCGGGAGGACTGAGACTCGCCGGATCCAAAGTCCCTGATGTTTGCCACTCCTGCTGGCCACAGGGACATTGAGTCGGTCAGCACCAGAAGCTGGGCGGTGCCCTGGGTGGAGCAGGGGTAGGGCGGAGCTTTAAGTCTGGCCCCGCCCCAGCCCCTATAAGTGAAGGACGCCCTTGAGGATGGGGCGGGGGCGGGTTTTATCAGGGGGGTGGAGCTTGGGCGGATTGAGACCTGAGGAGGCCGCACCTGGCTCATGAAAGGGGTGGAGCCAGGATCTCACCTTGTCCTAGAGGAGCCGGAAGCGAAGCGCGAGTGAGTGCCGGCCTAGGACATTTAACCTGTTGATCCTGTGCACGCAGGTAGAGGTCGCGGCTCCGAGCAAAGAGGTCCAGTGGGCAGCTCCCAAGGTAGGGCCCGACTCGGTCCAGGGAAGAGATGTCCCTGTCCCCTCCTGCCCCATCTGTCCTGCCATCTGACCTTTCTTTCTTTATGCTTAAGGGCCAGAGCCACCTGGAGCCGTCATGTGGGAATACAGGGGTGGAGGAGCGGGCCTCCCTCCCTCCCTCCCTCCAGTCCCCTGGGCACCAGGATGTAAAATCTGGGGAGAAGGAGATGCCCAAACCTCCCAGGGGAAGCTGACCCAGACTTACCACTGGCTGGCTGTGCCCCCGGGAAGACACCCACCCTCTCTGGTACTCAGTGTCCTCATTTGCAAAACGGGGTCTGACCCTTGACCAGCTAGTCCTGAGCATTCAGATGCCAAGCTGCTGGGAAGTTGGGGTGCAGTGTTCTCGCTCCCAGGGCAACAGGAGGGCTTACCCTCCTGCTCTTTGTCCTAGATAGAGAGCGTGCTCTCCCCGGACCCAAATCTTGGTGCCCAGGAGCACTGAGAGGTCAGACCCAAGGCAGCCTGCCTGGCCTCTCTGAGTGGAGTTGTGGGCTAGTCCAGAAGGCTTGTTTCCAGGACAGGGTCTGAGGCTTGGTCAAGGCATCCTATGATACCTTTCCGGAGCCCACCTGTTCATTCTGCAAATAATGGGTCAACCATTGTGCAGGGCCCTGAATGCCAAGTTAAGTCTAAACTCTCAACTGTGGTCAGGGGCAGTGCATTGGAGGCCAACTTGTAGTGCCCTGAGGACCAGCCTGGGTGAATGCGGCTGTTGTGATGCTGAAAACACAGCTAGGAAGTGGTGGAGTGGGGACTGGAACCCAGAGGGTTGGTACTCTCACCCATCATGCCCTGCTGCTGCCTATGACCTGGGCATCTTGTAATAAATCCTTGACCTATGACAGGAGAAAGGAGGCACGGAGAGCAAGAAACTGGGGAATGGGATTCAGGGGGCTGGTGGGAGAGGGCTCCCAGGAGTCCCAGAGGCATTCAGCTGCCTGGGGGTAAGGGATGAAGTGGTAGTTAGGGGGCAGAGGGAGCCAAGCAGAACACCAAGAGGACAGAACTAGGTCCTGGGGAAAGAGAGCCCCTTCAGAGACGGGTGCAGGCAGAGGGGGAAGAGCACAGGGCTGGGCCCAGGACATGCCCCCCAAAGGCTGAGCAGGCAGATGTGGGGACACCCACCTGTGGGGTCCAGGGTGGAGGGACAGAGAGGAGACAGTTCTAGACTCCCATGACATTAGAGCTGAGAGGGGTCTGAAAACAAGGACATCAAGTTGCATGCTAGAAAATATCTCATAAACGGGTCCCAGTAGGATTCCTCATGGGTACCAGGTATTCTCTACCATTTGGCTCTTCTTTTTTCATCAATAGTTTTCTTTTCTTTTCTTTTTTGCTATAGGGCACTCACCAGAGAGACAGAGAGAAAGAAATCACCCCCAGGGTGGATGGTGATACTGCAGTCCCTTCTCCTCCATTCTCCTCTCAGGATTTTGGGTGGCCACACACACACACACGTGCCTGGTGTTTCAGTCCTCCAGGTCCAGGACTCCAACAATGGTCAGCCATGTGGGAGTCCAGTGATGTAACCATTATGCCATCTGCTGGTCCCTGCCATTTGACTCTTACTACTAGGTCATTGGTTCTCAGTTGGGGACAGTTTGGTCTCAGGAGACATAACAATGTCTGAAGACGATTTGGTTGTCACAGTCTGAAATGGGGAGAGGAGGTCTGGGATACTGTTAAATAGCCTACAGCCCCCTCCCTGTCCCCACACACACAACAAAGAACTACCTGGCCCCAAATGGCAATTTAAAAAACTCTATGTCGCTGAACTCCCATGTAGCCGACCACAGTTCAAGTCCCGAACCCGGAGACTTAAACTCACATTGGGCGCATATGTGTGCGTGTCCAAGATCCTGAGAAGAGAATGGAGGAGAAGGGATTGTGGCGTGGCCATCCTCCCTGGGGGGTGATTTCTCACTTTCTCTCTGTCTTTCTGGCGAGCGCACGCACCCTATAGCAAAAACCTCAAAACAAAACAAAAAACTCTGTCCTAGAGAAAATTGAGCCTGGCACCCTCTCCACAACCCCAGCTCAGCTGTAATGTAGATCTCAGGCCTCTAGCTGGACAGAACTTTGCCCCTTCCTCTGGCCTGCCCCTCCTATGCTTGCCCTTTTATTCCTGGAAGCTTCTGGAGTCCTGTCTGCTTTTTCTAGGTGCAGTAGTCCAGAGCCCTGCCTTTGTCAGTCAGTCTGTCTGCCCAGACCTACGTGCACAGAGTTTGGCAGTGAGGCAGGGAGAAACCAAATGGGAAAATTTCCCCTGGCAGTTTTGTTTTTTGTTTGTTTTAGTTATAGAGCACTTGTGCTTGCCATAGAGAGACAGAGAGAGAAGGAGAGAGGGAAAGTGAGGAATCACCACCCTCCGGGGGATGGCTATGCTGCAAATTCCTTCCACTTCATTCTCCTCTCTGGACTTTGGGCATACACGTACACACATCTGGCATGTTTTTCAAGCTGCAGGGTCTGGGACTTGAATAGTCACCCATGTGGTATTCAACTGCTTTAACCTCCACAACACCTGCTGGCTCCACTTTGGCAATTGTAAGTCTGCCTTAGGTCTGAGGTGCTCTAACACAGATGGAAAGAAGCTGCGGCTTTGTCCGATGACCCCAGAGGGGCAGGGGATGGGAATTATCTGAGAAATGCTCCCTGTGGGGTTCCTGTCATCAGGCTCTTCTAGAATAAGCGATGGACTGAACACTAAGGCAGGTCTTCCAAACACTAAAGGGTGCAGGAATTCCCTGGGATCTTGTTCAAACGCAAATGCCGATTCAGTAGGGCTGAGCTGGGCTTAGATTTCCATGTATCTAACAAGCTCCCAGGGATGCCGACCCATGGGGTCCACGGACCACGGACCACGGGTTGGAGGGAGGCATGGCAGGGCCGTGCAGAGACGGCTATGGGCCAGCTGCTCCCTGCACAGAACTGTGCTACGGTTTGGGAACCAGGTGGCAGAAGAGCCCCGTCTCCAGCCTATTAGCTTAATGGAGCTTGGAGAAGTCACTTAACTTTGAAGGCACCACTTAGCTCCTTTGACAGTGGTTGTGCATGGCACACTGTCCTTCTGGGGCTCTGATGCAGGGTCTGAGAGAGGCCAGTGCCCCATGGAGGTCAGACAGTCTGGATCCTGGCAGCCAGAGGGACAGCAGGCCATTGACTTGGGCAGCAGGGCATGAGCTGAAGCTGGCAGGGTGGGCACCATGCCAAGCTTGGAGGCGGCTCTCCTTGCAGCTGCTACAGCCTCCGGCCTCTGGCTCACCCAGCCCCGCCTGCTGTGAGGGAGCTGGAGGGACCAGTCTGGCTGGTGGAAGGAGCAGTTCCAGAGGGACGGGGCCGACCTAGGGCCTGAATGTGGGTCTTGTGGCCTAGCCCTAGCCAGAAAAGTAGGGGGTCAAGGCTGAAATGGAGGCTTGCAAGCATTGCCTGGAGACCCTGGGGTCAGGCTGTGGGCCACAGTTAGGCTCCCCACCAGGGATATTGGGAAGGATTTGGCGTTTGGGGCCTTAAACCCCCAGCTATTGAGGATACCCTGCTTCGGGCATCTGACCCCTGGAACAGGACTCAGCGGAGCCTTGGTTACCCAGTGCTAACCAGTCACAATGACTCAGCAACGCCCCTTTCTTCTCCGAGGACGAGGTAGCAGCAAGACAGCTGGAACCATTTTTCAGATGGAAAAACAGAGACCTCCTCCTCACTACTCCCATGCTAGCCCTGGGACCCATCCCTGAGCAGGGCCCTGGGCCTGATTTCTTTTGAAGTTGCCCCATCCCCCCTTCACCCGTTTCTACAGTGGGGCCATCCTGGGGTTCACACTGAGGGTTCTGGGTATGAAGCACATGGACCTGGGTCTGAAGATGGCTGTGAGACCCTGGGCGAGTCATTCCACCTCTCGGAAACCAGCTGGCTCATCCGTAAACAGGAATGATGACACCACTTGGCCGGCCTCCCGGGTTGTTGTGAAGATGAAACAAGCCATGCCCACTGAGCACCATGGTCATTATGATTAGTCACAGCGTTTAGAGGCACAGGGAACCCAGCGTTGCTTACCCAGCGCCCCTACTTTATAGATGTGGAGATCAGCACTTACAAAAGGGAGGCTGCTGTCCAAGGATCCTGCAGGTCAGTGCACCAGCCAGGGCTAGGGCCACGTCTACAAGTGCCCTCCCACCCCACGCAGAAGCCTCCTGCAAAGGCGCTTTGAGGCGTGACACCAACGTAAGCCTGCGGGTCTGGGCGTTGGGTGGCAGGAGCCTCCCCACGGAGGGAAGTGGACCAGGCCTGTGTACAGCACTGCTCTCTTCCCAGAACCAGCCATGAACTACGTGGGGCAGCTGGCGGAGACAGTGTTCGGGACGGTGAAGGAGCTGTACCGGGGCCTGAACCCCGCCACGCTGAGCGGCGGTATCGACGTGCTGGTTGTGAAGCAGGCTGATGGCTCCTTCCGCTGCTCACCCTTCCACGTGCGTTTTGGGAAGCTGGGCGTCCTGCGGTCACGGGAGAAGGTGGTGAGTGCTCTCAATGGGGGAGCGGGGTGTGCTTTTTAAGCCAGGGCAGCCAGAGGACCCAGAGCCTTCCTTTGTGGGCTTTGTGGTCAGGGTGGGTTTCCATTTTGCCGTGGAAGCAGTAGGGCAGTCTTTGGCTCAGAGGCCTCAGCCCTGACTCTCACTTAGACCTTACCTGTGTATTTTTGGCAAGCCACGTCATGTCTCTGAGCCCTGCCCCTTCCCTGTGCAAATGGATACAATGTTACCTGCCTGGTGACGGTGGTGGTGGGATGATTTGGGAGAAGTAACTAGGAGCTGATAATCCTGTCCCAGGACCAGGTGTGTGGGCGACTCTAAAGTGAGTCCCTTAGTAAACCCACACCAACCTCACTGGGCTCAGATGAACGTGACAGAGCCTTTGTTAGCCTCGAGCCTGCTGCAGGAAGAGAGGTTTGGAGGCTCGAATCCCCTTTGTTTTGAGGTGACTGGATTTTCTAGACTCCTACCAGAAAAATGTGCCCTGTGGGAGACTGTACTGAAGGGCTTACAAGCTTGGGTTGGGACTCAGACTTAATGGGTTTGCAGACTCCCTTGCTATGAGGCCACTTCCTAACAAACAACTTAAACCCCGCAAGCCTCGTCTATAAAGTGGGGGTAATGATAGGGGCCGCTGCAAGGAGTTGTTGTGAAGCTCGAACAAGATCCTCTCCATGAAGCACTGCACGAGGTACCCTGTAAATGGTCATTGTCACTATTGTCCATGTAGTCAACAACCTGGGGTCTGGGGACATTGTAGTGACGAGACAGAGCACTTCCTTATCTTGTGGGGTGTGGAAGAGAGAGGCACATGGAAACCCGGCAATAAATAAGAATGTAAGGGAGAGACTGATGTAGGAAAGCCCAAGGATGGGCGGTGTGTGCGGCCAAGATGGGGTGGAGTCCTGGTGGAGGCCTCTCTGAGAAAGGGGAGATTGAGCCGAGGCCTGGGATGGAGAGCAGTGCTGCGGCAGCAGGAGCCAGTATCTGCAGGCCCGGGTGGGAGGCCAGAGGGAGGGAGCATGGGCGTGTGGGCCCATGCCAGGGACCGTACATCCCCATCCCACCGCTCCCCACTGCAGGTGGACATCGAGATCAATGGGGAGCCAGTGGACCTGCACATGAAGCTGGGAGACAGCGGTGAAGCCTTCTTCGTCCAGGAGCTGGAGAGCGATGAGGTGAGTGCTGTCGTCCTTGCCAGCCCCTCGGCAGGCATTGGACGTGTCACTGTCCTGCGCTCTATCAGCAGACCTCTGATGCAGGGGTTCAGCCGGCGCTGGCCTCAAACACTCGTGATATGGGGTGGAAGGCCAGAGGAGGGGCCCGGGCATGGCTGACTCTATTTCCTGAGAAGCAGGGAAAGGTTTCCTAGAAAAGGGGACACCTGAGCTGGGACCTTTAGTGATGAAAAGGAGGCCTTCCCTGGCAGCCTTGAGAGGAGCAGGACATCGAAGAACAGCTAGTGCCCTGGGAAGCAGAAGGTCTGGCTGGGGGTAGGGATAATGACCTAGGAGCTGATAATCCTGTCTATCAGCAGACCTCTGATGCAGGGGTTCAGCCGGCGCTGGCCTCAAACACTCGTGATATGGGGTGGAAGGCCAGAGGAGGGGCCCGGGCATGGCTGACTCTATTTCCTGAGAAGCAGGGAAAGGTTTCCTAGAAAAGGGGACACCTGAGCTGGGACCTTTAGTGATGAAAAGGAGGCCTTCCCTGGCAGCCTTGAGAGGAGCAGGACATCGAAGAACAGCTAGTGCCCTGGGAAGCAGAAGGTCTGGCTGGTGGCAGGTCTGCTGCCAGCTCTGTGCAGCTGCATCATAGAAGTGCATGGGTGGGGGGTGAGAGAGGCAGTGTGTGCCGAGGAGAGGCAGGGCCCAGCACGGAGGCATTTATAGTGTTGGAACTGGATGACTTTAACTGAGCCCTTGCTACACATCAGGCATTGTATGGATTCAGACAGGGGGTGACTCCTGCTCTTAAAGAAAATTCCAAACTAGTCCAACGAGAGGTGGACACATAAACAATAGATGATGGAACTGGGCTGGGGGTAGTCATGGCAAGCTTCCTGGAGGTGATGCCAGGCTGTGTCTTGAAGAGGAAGTAGGTGTCTGCTGTAATAGGCCTGAGGTCAGGAAGAGAGAGGCTGATGGAGGTTTCTGTCGGGGTTCCCTGGTATCAAGGCTGTTTTATCTCTGTTGAGAAGCTGCAGCCAGCCGGAGGTGGCAGGGCCATGCTGCAGCTACCTCTGTCCAACCTCCATGCCTGTTTTTCTGACCCCAGATGAGCTCCCGCTAAGGCCTGGGATTCAAGGGGGGAACAGGATAACTAGGTGTTGGGTCCCCCAGGGTCTCAGCTCTGCCCTTGGTCTGTCCCACAGGAACACGTGCCTCCTCGCCTGTGCACCTCACCCATCCCTTGGGGGGGCCTGTCTGGCTTCCCTTCAGACTCCCAGCTGGGCACAGCCAGCGAGCCCGAGAGCCTCGTTGTTGTGGGCGCGGCCTCCACGGGGCGGAAGAAGCGGCGCCGCAGGAAGAAACCCAGGCGGAAGGAGGATGCGGTGGCAAGTGACTCTAGTTCAGAGGAACTGGAGGCAGGCCCTGAGAGTGAGCTGTCCCTGCTGGAAAAGCCGAGGCCAGAGCTTTCAGGGTGTGTAGGGGCCAGGAGGAGGCTGAGGGTGTGGGGATGCTAAGGTGGTTAAAGCACTTTCCCTTGCTGATGCTGGGCGACCCTGGGCAAGGGTCTTGCCGTCTCTGGTTTTAGTTACTTCATCTCTCCGAGTCCTTGACATTGCTCCCATGCCCTGCTTGGGGTGTCCTGCCCTGTCAGTGACCATTTCATTTTGACCAATCAGCAGTGTCCAGCTGGAAGGAGAACCCTCGCTGCAGCCCAAAGACATTTATCCCTACTCCGATGGCGAGTGGTCGCCGCAGGCCAGGTGAGAGCCAGGTGGGCTGCAGGCTGAGATGCAGCCCGAAATCTCAGAGGGGTTCCAACTGACATTTTTCTGATGACTAATGACACAGAACCCATTTAATGTGTTTTCTGGCCATTGGTACCTCTCCTTTGTAAAGTGTTCACGTCCTTTGCCTTTTAAAATTAAAATACACATTACATAAACTACACATAACATAAACTTTACCATTTCAAAGTATACCATTTAGTGGCATTAAAAATGTCCGTGCTGGGACCAGCAGTTGGCATAATGGCTATGTTGCTTGACTCCCATGTAGTTGTTTGCAGTTCGAGTCCCAGACCTGGTGACTTAAACTCACACCGGGCACGTGAGCATGCGTGCCCAAGATCCCAAGAGGAGAATGGAGAAGGGATTGCACGTGGCCATGCTCCCTGGGGGGTGATTTCTCGCTTTCTGTCTCTGTCTTTCTGGCAAGCGCATGAGCCCTATAGCAAAAAACTCTTAAAAAAAAAAAAGTCCATGCTGGGGCTGGCAGATAGTGTGGTGGTTAAGGCAGCTGGACTCCCACATTGCTGACCGTGGTTCAAGTCCCAGACCTCGCAGCTTGCTTTCTCACTTTCCTTTTCTCTCTCTGTCTCTCTCTGGCCAACTTTTAAAAATAAAATAAAATACAATAGAGACAATGAATAAAATTAAATAAAATAATTCTAAAAAACAAAAAAAAAGTCCATACTGCTGTGCAATGACTACCTAGTTCCAGAACTTTCATTACTCCCAATGGAATCTCTGTGCCCAAGAAGCAGTCACAACTTTGTCTTCCTTTTTATTCTTTTTAAGGTTTGCCTCCTTATTGTTGATTTGGAGGAGTCCTTTATATATGTATATATTCTATCTTGGCATCCTCCTTATATATTCCAGATTTGGCACGGGCATGCATTTGAGTTAGAGATACTGTACTTCAGAGCTAGGGCGGGCAGCAGAGGTGGCAGCTGGCTTGGGTCCTCTGAGCACTTGTTTCCTGCAGCCTCTCGCCAGGTGGGCTGTCATCCCCTAAGAGCGACTCGGAGTTGGAGCTGCGGACCCCGGAGCCCAGTCCACTGAGAGCTGAGTCCCACATGCAGTGGGCCTGGGGGAGGCTGCCCCAGGTGAGTTCCTCCATGTTGACCCTCAACCCCTGCCTTTTGGGGGTTCTGTGGCCTCTGCAAATGAGGATTAGAGTGATGGTGACTCAGGCCACCTCCCCCAGGGCTTTGTGGGCCATGGGAGGCAGACCCAGCAATGTCCATGCCTTCTGATTTTTCCACTGAAGGTGGCCAAAGCTGAGAGGCCCGAGTCCTCGATGGTCCCTGAATGCAGCACCAAGGCAGCTTCTCTTCCAGGGGGACCCAGCACCCCCTCTGTCTCTATGGCTCATATGGACCCTTTGGGACCCTCAATCCTGCAGCCAGGAGCTGGCACTGACCTGCTTCAGCCCGAGCTGAAGCCCTACTTGAGTGAAACTCTGGTGGGTTCCCCTCTCCCCACCCCAGAAAGTGAGGAAGCCAAGACTCTGAGCTCCAAGGACACAGGCGTCCTTCCCATCTCTAAATCACAGAGCTGGGCCGCTCAGCAGCCAAAGAGGGCCTCCAGGGGGAAAGGTGAGTGACGGCTGGACCCCTTCCACTGCATCTCTGACCTCATGTTATCCCCTGGATGGGCTCTGGGACATTCCAAGCCGGCATTATGCCTGGCACCAGCCTTTGCAAGGATTATAGTCTGAGGGACAGACAGATGACACAGGCGTGAGCAAGGAAGGGCCGACATGGGGATATGGGGAGTCACAGGCTGGATGAGGCATTTAAATCATGTGGTGAGGGAGGCCTCTCTGAGCAGTCTCTGAGCTGAGCATGGATAATAAAGATCCAGCCAAGTGAGGAAGAGCAGAGGACAATCCTCAGCATAGGGAACAGCACGGGTCAGGCACGAAGCAGGAGAGAGGGTCATGTCTAGGAACTCAGGGAAGATGGCTATCTTTTTAAAAAGTTTTGCCAGAGGGTCAGCGTGCTCATCAGAGAGTAGGAGAGGGAAAAGACACTCTTGATGGGAAATAGTCATGCTGCCATCCCTTCTCTACTTCTCTGTCAGGATTTGGGGCAGGCACAAACATGCACCTGGCGTGTTTTCAAGCCAGTGGGGCTTGGATTAAAACTGGTGAGCCAGTTTGATGTGGGATCCAGCTCCCCTAACCTCTACAGGGGTGACCCAACTGGAGTATCTTGAGTGAGGGAGAGGGTGAGATAGAGCCAGACCATTCCTGGCTCACAAGTATGGTTTTTTTTTAGAGGTTTTTGCTATAGGGCGTGTGTGCTCTCCAGACAGAGAGAGACAGAGAGACAGAAAGTGAGAAATCACCCCCCAGGGGGATGACCACACCACAATCCCTTCTCCTCCACTCTCCTTTTGGGATCTTGGGCATGCACGCACACGCGCCTGGCATGAGTTTTAAGCCACGGGTTCTGGGATGCAAACCACCGTCGACTACATGGGAGTCCAGCGACATAGCCATTATGCTGACTGCTGGGCCCTCACAAGTGTGGTTTTAACTAGGACCAGTGGGAAGGCACCAGGCTGCCACTTCCAGATCAGTAGCAGCTGGCTATATGTGACTACTTAAAACCAAATTCATGCTGCCATCCCTTCTCTACTTCTATATCTGTCAGGATTTGGGGCAGGCACAAACATGCACCTGGCGTGTTTTCAAGCCAGTGGGGCTTGGATTAAAACTGGTGAGCCAGTTTGATGTGGGATCCAGCTCCCCTAACCTCTACAGGGGTGACCCAACTGGAGTATCTTGAGTGAGGGAGAGGGTGAGATAGAGCCAGACCATTCCTGGCTCACAAGTATGGTTTTTTTTTAGAGGTTTTTGCTATAGGGCGTGTGTGCTCTCCAGACAGAGAGAGACAGAGAGACAGAAAGTGAGAAATCACCCCCCAGGGGGATGACCACACCACAATCCCTTCTCCTCCACTCTCCTTTTGGGATCTTGGGCATGCACGCACACGCGCCTGGCATGAGTTTTAAGCCACGGGTTCTGGGATGCAAACCACCGTCGACTACATGGGAGTCCAGCGACATAGCCATTATGCTGACTGCTGGGCCCTCACAAGTGTGGTTTTAACTAGGACCAGTGGGAAGGCACCAGGCTGCCACTTCCAGATCAGTAGCAGCTGGCTATATGTGACTACTTAAAACCAAATTAACTAAAATCATGTGGGCTTCTTGGAGACAGGATTTAAATACCCATCCTAGCCCATGACTCCTCTCACATCCCCCAGGCTGCCCTTCCCTGCTCAGGCCCTCCCACTAACCACATTTTACATGCGCTCCATACCCACATGTGGCTGGCAGTGACCCTGCCAGGCAGTGTAGACAGAGCACTCACTCCCCTGTCAGCACAGTTCTGTTGACAGCACTGCCTCTGGGCATCCCAAGACAAGGGGCACATTGAGCTCACGTTAGGTCTGCGGTGTCCCCTCCTCCACCTGCAGGTTCCCTGAAGAGAAGCCAGCACCTAGGTCCCAGTGACATCTACCTGGACGACTTACCCTCCCTGGACTCTGAGAATGCAGCCCTTTACTTCCCCCAGAGGTGCCTGGGCTCTGGGTCAGGGTGTCTTGGGATCCATGGGGAAAACATCCTGGGAGGAGTGGGGACCCACTTCCCACCCTCCTATGTTCATGTCCCTGTTGGCCCCTTTGCCCCCAGTGACTGTAGACTAGGGGCCAGGAGGTGGAGTGAACCTAGCAGCCAGAAGCTTCTGGGGGACTCCCTACCTGAACACACCCCAGAACCCACTGCTGACACTGTGGACACCATAGCACTATCCCTGTGTGGTGGACTGGCAGACAGCCGGGACATCTCCATAGGTATGTCAATGTGACCTGAGCCCTTCCGAGGATTGGCACTGAGCCCAGGGGGCACAGGAGGGCAGGGAAGACACTCAAGGGTGGGGAAACAGGTGTGAACCCAGCAGGGCTGGACATCCCAATTCCCCTGAAGCAAACGTTCGACACTAAGCTATGTCTTGTGCTATGACTTTCGGGGTGGGAACAATAGGATCAAAACCACAAGCAGGGAGAGACCTTGCTAAGCCAAAGAATTGCCCAGCAAGGGGCCTGTGATAGGGTTCAGGGGGCCAGGAGGAGCTGGAGCAGTGGGTCCCAGGGCTGGGCTGACCTCACCCCCTACTTGCTGCCTCTGTGCCCAGAGAAGTTCAACCAGCACGTCGTCTCCTATGAGGACCTCACCCAAAACCCCAGTCTCCTGGACGACCCAAACCTAGTGGTGAAAATCAATAGGAAGTGAGTACCAGCCAGGGGCTGTTGGCAGTCTGAGAATCTCACTCCCCACAACCCTGCAACTGCTACAGCCTGACACCTTGCTGTCTTCCCAGGCATTATAACTGGGCTGTGGCTGCCCCCATAATCCTGTCCCTGCAAGCCTTCCAGAAGAACCTTCCCAAGGTAATGGCTAGAATAGCATTGGGCCTGGTGGGGAAAGTGGCTGCAGCCTTGGGATCTGGCTTGGCCCTTGACAAGAAAGTGGGGATGGGCAGAGATGGGCCTGGGGGCCTGTAGGGGCAAGACCCACTGTAGGAGAGGTGACAAGTGTCCCCCAAGCCTTGCCTCACCCTTCTCGTTTCCTGGCCATGGTGGGTCCTGTTTGATTTGGATTTTTACTTCAGAGGAGCTCAGGACAACCAGAAGGACCCAAACAGCCTACAGATGCCTAAACTAGGACTTGTCTTCAACAGGAGGTTCTGGGATCTGAAAGACAGGGCTTGGATTATGAAGGTTCCACCTTCCTCTTACCCTCCAGGCTGGGCTGAGGGGTGCTCACTCCCTTTGTTAGCACACATTTGTTGAACAGCTATTACGTGCCAGGCCCAAGCTCGGGACAATCATAAACTAAACAGCCCCACCCTCACAGGAAGATGGTATTAATTAAAGACTCACCCAGTGGAATGGAAAATCCATCCATGGGGCTGGCCCCTTGGCTTGGTGGGTGAGGCAGCCAGATCCCATTTGACTGGCTGCACGATTGATTCCTGGATCAGGTAGTGTACACATGCTGGGTACATGCATGCATACCCAGAATCCTGAAAGGAGGGAGGGAAGAAGGGATTGTAGCATGACCATTCCCCGTGGTGGATGCTTTCCTCTCTCCCTGTCTCTGTCTCTCTCTGGTGGGCACATGCAATCTCTAGCAAAACAAACAAACAAAAATCTTTTTTCCACGGTGAGTGTGGGAAGGAGAGGTCTGGGGTGCTTGGAAAGCCTACAGAGGGACCAGCAGTTAGCATAACGGCTGTGTCACTGGACTCCCATGTAGTTGACTGCGGTTCGAGTCCCGGATCCAGTGGCTTAAACTCACACCAGGCGTGTGTACATGCATGCCCAAGATCCCGAGAGAAGAATGGAGGAGAAGGGATTGCGGCATGGCCATCCCCCCTGGGGGGTGATTTCTCACTTTCTGTCTGTCTCTCTCTGTCTTTGTGGCATGCACATGCACCCTATAGCAAAAAATAAAACCTCTCCAAAAAAAAGAGAGAAAGAAAGAAAGAAAGAAAGAAAGAAAGAAAGAAAGAAAGAAAGAAAAAGAAAAAAAGAAAGAAAGAAAGAAAGCCTATAGCAAGGGGTTTGCTGAGTGAGTGCCCAATGGGGAGAGACTGAGGGATGGACTGACTTGAGCAGTCAGGAGAGAACAGCATGCAGAGATGCCCAGAGATGGGAAGAAACTCAGCCTCTTCCTTCCCTCCTAGAACCTCCACCAGGTCCTCCCGGGCTACCTTGCTCATCTCTGAGGACGGTGTCTTCCAGTGACAGCCTGTGCCATCTTGCACCTGCCTTTCTGGGAGTGGCCCTGGGCCCAAAGTTCTTGACTTGGTTAGGCTTGCCCTAAGGGCCTCACCAAGCAGATGTAGACTCCTGGTAGCCCCCATTGGTGGCCTTGTGGAAAGGCTGATGAGAGCTGAGCTAGATAACTCCAGGGACAGCCCAGGCCAAGGCCCTCCCAGAGACACATGAGCATCCTGCAGGTGCAGAAATGGGGAACCCAGAGGAGGAGTTAGATCCAGCACAGACCTAGTCGGTGTTACCACAAGGTTATACGGCCCCAACCAGGTGGTGATAGGAACGGAGAGGGAAGCCGTTCCTGGCAGTCAGTCACTGACCTTAGGGTCAGTCTTAAAAGCTGAGAAGAGTACAGGATATAGACTGTCCTTTCTGCCGCCACTTGGTAGCAGGGAGAACAGATCTTGAGGAGCTCCCAAAGCATTACCTTCAGCTACTCTAGCAGGCAGACTGACGCCCAGATGGGAGGCCAGGGCAGGGGCAGGGTGGGGCGGGAGCAGCTCTTGGTCTCCCCTGCATAGCCCTGCAAGCCATTGCTTGAAAGCCCAGGCTAGAGGTGGGTACCCTTCCTGAGCCTCCAGATGTTGATAGCTCCCTAGGTTTGTGGGGTGCAAAAAAGAACACTACGGCTTCATCTGCCCACAGAGTACCGTGGACAAATTGGAGAAGGAGAAGATGCCTCGGAAGGGTGGGCGATGGTGGTTTTCCTGGCGACGCAGGGACTTCCCAGCTGTGGAGGTGGGTGGTTGTGGTCATGGGTAGGGCCAGCAGAGGGCAGGAGTCAGGGGTCAGCAGATGGGTGTTCTTCCCACAGCACAGTGCCCAGGAGAAAACCACAGCAGTGGAGCAGCCAGGGTGAGTTGGCCTGCTCAGCAGTATGGAGCCTGGGGAAAGATGCCCTAGGGATGGGAGGTGTCCCCAGCATCCCTCCCCCAGCCACGGTTGCACATGTACACCCTTCTTTTTCTAAGAAACGTCCCATTTCACAGATGGGAAAACCAAGCCCTAGAGACTCACCAAATGCCCCAGTGCCAGGAAATGGCAAAACTAGAACGGGCGCTCAGACTCCCAGCCGTTAAGAGTGATGGAGCCTCTGGCTCTCCAAGTCCCTAGGGGCTGGCTATGCCTCCTTTGCTCTGCTCTGAACTGACCCAGTTGCCCAAGGTTGGGTGGGGGAGTGACCAAGGATGGGCTGGCCAAGGCTGGTGGGATAGGGACTACACCCTATGGTACACTCTGGGTCTTTCAGGTAAATGTTTACAAGGGGGGCGCCGGCTTGCTTGGGAGTGCACTGAGGGCTGGCAGCTTGGGGTCCCAGCCCCACCCTGCTATCCCGACTAGGTGTGAACTGCCAGCCAGGACCCCTGCCATCTGCCGGAAGCCCATATGGGTGGACCCTCAGGATGGGGTCTCGGGTGATAGGGATGAGCCCTGGGCTAGGGGTGAGTACCTACAGAAAGAAAAGCAGATGGAAGAGGCAGCCTGAGCATCGGTGCTTCCCTCAGGGCAAAGGCCGAGGTCCTGAGCAGCGATGACGATGCCCCAGACAGCCCTGTGATCCTCGAGGTCCCCTCCCTGCCACCCTCGACCTCGGCCTACACTCCTACCTACAAGAAGTCCCTCCGCCTCTCCTCCGATCAGATCGTAAGTGAATGCATGGTGCGTGTTTATTGGGGTGGCAGGGCTGAACTCCTGCCCAAGTCCCTCAGACTTCGCTGAGAAACAGCCCAGGGAGCCTTGTGCTCACCAAAGACCAGACCCACCCCCGGCAGCCTCCCTCACAGTCTTGGCTTGAATGCCTCCAGGGGTGAGGGGTCGCTTCTTCAAGCGCCAACCCATTTCTCTGTCGGAAGTTCTGACTGGGTCGGCCCTCTCATAGGTCCTAGGATATCTACCTGCAGTGACTTGCAGTCTCTGGGTCTGTCCTTGGAAGTCACAGTGACATGCCACACCGCTGATGAAAGCCTTAACCCGGCCCCAGGTCATGTCTTCTCCGAGCTCAGTAAACTGGTGGCTCCTGTGACAAGAACATGTCTTCTTTGTGGGTGTGGCTCCGTGGTCAGGGAAGTGTCCAAGGGGGTCTGACTGGCCTGGTTCAGGGCAGCTGCCGTGCGTCTGGTACCCTGGGGCTCACACCCAACTCGGCCTAGTCAGTGCCTGGGAGCCTTGGTCACCTGGCTTGAGTGGAGAGTTGCCCAGATCCTTCTCTATGGACCAAGGGCAGGGCTAGGGCTCTCTTTAGGAGAATGTGGAGTCCGGAACCCTGGCCCCAGGCAGGGCTTCCTGTGAAGATCCCCATAGGGTCCCATCTATGGAGTAGGTTGTCTCTCCCCTAAGAGCTGCCCAGACTTGGGCTCTCCTGAGTAACCTGGACACACACGGGCCTGGCTATATCAGTTTCGTCTCAAAGAGGAGCAAAGGGAGGTCAAGGCTCCTGTGCCTGGCACTGTAGAGGGCCCTTTCCAGCACAGTCGCCCTCAACCCTTGCTGGTATATCTGGGCATCACTGTCTAGTCCAGGAAGGATCTCTGAGCTGGAAGAGAATGAGCTGTGGGTTTGGGGTGGAGAGGGGTGTGGGGCATCTGCTACAACAGATCACAACGCACCCCTTTGCCTGGCTCCAGCGACGCCTGAACCTGCAAGAAGGTGCCAATGATGTGGTCTTCAGTGTGACCACCCAGTACCAGGGCACCTGCCGCTGCAAGGCCACCATCTACCTGTGGCGGTGGGATGACAAGGTGGTCATCTCCGACATTGATGGCACCATTACCAAGTGAGGCCCAGCTGGCCAGGGGAGGTCGAGGGGGGGGGCGGGGGCTGGAGGCCTGGGAACTCACCACCTTCTCGCCCTCCCTTCCCTGCAGGCCATCCTGGGGCTGGGGGCTGTGCCCTCCTGGGCCCATACATAGAACATGAGGGCCATGTGGGGTTGCCCCTGAGTGACCCTTCCTCTCCGGCTCTAGGTCAGATGCTCTGGGCCACATTCTGCCCCAGCTGGGGAAAGACTGGACACACCAGGGCATCACCAGTCTCTACCACAAAATCCACCTGTGAGTGCTGGGCTCGGGCTGAGGCAGGGAGTGACAGGACAGGGCATCTCGGGGACCAGCAGGGCCCACAAGGGAAGCAGCTTGGGCAGGCCCTGGAGCGCTGAGACCTACCTAGAGGCCCTCGGTTCTATAGAGACTCATCTCATGCGGCTGTACCCAGTCAGAGTCCACTCATCGGCCTCAGGCTGGAGGGGGAGCTTTTCTCCATCTTGGACCCCCACTGGGTCTCAGGTCTTTTTGCTTCTAGTTGGGACACTCCTAAGGCTCCCTTCTCAGGCCTAACTTAGCTGTTCTCCCTAAGCCGCCTCCCTGCAAGGCCTATGTTTTTCCTTTTCTAAATTCGTCAGAGGACATGCACTTGCCAGAGGCTGAGGGGGTTGGGGATGAGAAAGCAGCCCCTGGTGAGGGACAGTCATGCCACAGTCCTTTCTCCTTTTGGGATCTGGGGCATGCACACAAACACACCCTGCACGTTTTTCAAGCCTCTGGGTCCAGGACTTGAACAGCATGGCCGACCATGTGGGAGCCAGCTGCCTCAACCACCACACTACCAGCTGGCTCAGCCTCTGGGTTTGAAGGCCAGGGTCCCAGGGTTGGGCTGTGCAAACTGAAGCCAAGGGAGTGGGACAGGGGATGGCTGTCTCTGGATGGCTCTGAGTCACTGTTGTCCCCCACCCCAGAAATGGGTACAAGTTCCTGTATTGCTCTGCGCGGGCCATCGGCATGGCTGACCTCACCAAGGGGTACCTGCAGTGGGTGAGCGAGCGGGGCTGCGGCCTCCCCAAGGGCCCCATCCTGTTGTCCCCTAGCAGCCTCTTCTCGGCCCTCCACAGGTAACTGCCTGCACCCTGTGGGGAGGGACAGGCCGCTATTAGCTCTCCATGTCAGCTGAGAGCTGGGTCTGACTCATGGCACCTGACCCTGTGCCCCTTGGGTTTCTACCTCCTCCTGGGAACCTCTCCCTGCCCACGGCCCCCAGAGAGGTGATTGAGAAGAAGCCAGAGGTGTTCAAGATCGCCTGCCTAAGTGATATCCAGCAGCTGTTCCTGCCCCAGGGCCAGCCCTTCTACGCCGCCTTTGGGAACAGGCCCAATGTGAGTGTGTCATGTGTCGTCCCTCACCCCACCCCGGGCTGGGCTTCCTCCCTGCCCCAGCCAGCCCCTTTCCCTGGCCCTCCTTGTCCCCCCTCAGGATGTCTTTGCGTACCAGCAAGTGGGCCTGCCTCAGTCCCGCATCTTCACTGTCAACCCACGCGGAGAGCTTATCCAGGAGCTCATGAAGAACCACAAATCCACGTGAGGCCAAACCCTGCCATGTCCCCATGCCCAGGCTCTCCCCAGACCCCAATTTCACCTCCCACCCAGGAGCCCAATCCTTGCCCAGGGCTCCCACGAGGAACCACCACGGGTCATGATGGAGCCACGGTCTGTAGGCAGCCCGGGCTCAGGGCTGTCCTGTTCTGCCCGTAGGTACGAGCGGCTGAGCGAGGTGGTGGAGCTCCTCTTCCCGCCTGTGGCCCGTGGCCCCAGTGCAGACCTGGCCAACCCTGAGTACAGCAATTTCTGCTTCTGGCGGGAGCCACTGCCCACTGTGGACCTTGATGCCCTGGCCTGAACCTGGCCTGGCCACCTCCTCCTCCACCTGGCCAAGGACTGACCAGAAGCTGAGTGCCACAGGGTCAGCCCCGAAGGGGTGGGGGCTGCGGGTCAACTGGCAGCCACAGAGGCCCTCTCCTCACTGCCCTGTCTCTTGTCTGCCAGCTGAGCTGCAGGGGGCGGGGCAGCTGCTCCAGGCCTCAGTGTGGCCCTGGCCCTGATTAAGTGTCCTCTGAGCCCTCATGGGGCCCTCTGTGCACTTCATGTGTCTCTCCCTGCCACCCTGGGACCTTGCCTGAGTTCCTGAGTGAACAGAAGAAAGAGGTCCCACTGAGGCTGGAGGCCTGTGTGCACAGGGAAGGATTGGTGGCAGCAGTTGGGGGTGGCTGAGAAGCTTCTGGAAAGACCAGGGTACTCTCTTGAACCCCTTTGTTGTATAGCCTGTTCCCTCCACACAGCTCTCACTGGTGCCCTGGCACCTTGGCACCTGATGCCCACCCTGACCCTGGATGTTCCAGTGTTCCCTGACATCGGAGAAGTGGACGTGAGGGCACCCAGGGCTGAGGGAGGGTGGCTTCTGCTTGGCCTAGCCCCACCCAGCTATTACGCCCTCTCCACTCAGTATCTTCCCTGAGGACCTGCCCTGCCCTACCAGGGCCAGGGGTGATGCCAGCCCTCCTTCCCCCTGCTCTGCTGGTCAGTTCAGTGCTCACAGCTGTGTGGAGCTCCCACCCCAAGAGCTGGCTGATACCCCACTGCAGCCCCACCCCCACTGCAGCACTCCTTCCCCACCCCCATCTCTGATGAGCAAAGTACCTTTAGCTAAAAGCTTTAATCCAGGACCTGCCCTCTTCCAGTGGTGCCAAAGTGGAGGGTAATACTCCAACTGTCCAGAAACTACAAGGCAGGGCTGTAGGGACCTGCAGGACAGCACAGGAGGGCCCCTGCTTCTGTCAGGGAAACCAAGGCAGGGAGCTTCTGCAGAGCCCGGTGTCCAAGTCTCTGGGGACTGCACAGGCCCGAGGACACATTTCCAAGTTGTCCCTGGTTTCTTTTAGACCTGAATTTCTCACCACTTTGTGCGTATCCTGGTCGAGCTGGGACCTTGCAGGGTCGTTCAAAGGCCTCAGCCCCTTTGTCTCCAGCTGTGGCCTTTTTGTCAGGTCTGGTCTCACTGGGGCCTCTGGAGAGAGGCCTTGACCTAGGGGGTAAGATTTTCTCAAATGGAAGGAAGAGGACCATGTGGGTACCAGAGCACCCTGGAAACATTTTGGGGGAAGAAAAGAAAAAGGATAAACTGGGGAAGGGTCCCTAACCAGGTTGCCTGGATCCATTTCTTCCCTCTGGGATTCTATAGCTGCCTAAGCCCCTGACTCGGGGTTGGATCAGAAAGAATAAAGAGAACGCTCAGCTGAGTCTGCTTGCTCTGTGCTGAAGGACGTATGGGGACCTGAAGACCCAGCAGCCTCTAGCCCTTGGTTCAGAATTAGCACCCCTGAGGCTGCCAGGTGTGAAGAAAGTTCCAGTGGGAATCACCTTCCTGCAGAAACCTCGCCATGATGGCTGGGAGAGAAGCCAAGGAGACAAGGGAACAGAAGCCTCTGAGGCTGTGACCGAGCACAGGCAGCCGGGCCCCAAGCACTGAGGACGGCCTGCGGGTCTCCACAGCTGCAGAAGAGCAACTTGTAGGCAGTGGGCTGTCAGGTCTCTTAAGTCCAGCCTGCCTTCAGGCACGACGGCCTCGCCTTGACTGTTATCCCGAATTGTTCATTTGGGAGCATTGAGCATGGATTTGGGTGGCTGGCACAGTCACATGGAGTTGGCCCCAAAGCAATCCTCCAGTGCCTCTGGGCTGGCCAGCAGAGGCTGGGAGGCACTGCTGGATAGGACTGGCTCGGGGGGACATCCCCAGCGTTGGTGGGATCTGGGCTTTGAGTCTTGTCCAGTCTGCTTAGGTGCCTTGTCCTGGCCGTGTCTGCTCAGCCAGTTGGGCCCGGCAGTTCAGGAGGTCATCCCGGAGGCGGGCAATGTCCTGTGCGTGCTGGGCTAGTGTGCGATTCAACTGGTCCACATGTCCCCACAGGCCTTCCCTGGGTCTAAGCGACCCAGTGGGCAAGCTGTCCAGGCCTGCAGCCAGCAATGCCAGTCTCCCGCATGCACCTTCCACTTGTGCTACCCTCTGGTCAAAGTGGCCCACTGCATGTTGGAGTTCCTGGGCTGTGTCCTGGCAGCGGCTCAGGCCACAGGGCATGCTGGCCACACCAGCCTTGAGTTGCTCCAGCTCCCCTCGCAGGTTCAGGACCTGCCTGTGGCCGGCTCGAAGCCGTGAGCCTTGGCTGCTGACCTGCTCCTGGATGGCGTGGACTTCAGCTTCCACTTTGCGTTCCCGTTCGTCCAGGGACGTGTTGGCAGCCAAGAAGGCGTCAGAGTACTGGCTGACAGAGTCGCTGAGGCCCGTGAGCGATTTGCTCACAGAATTCAGATTGACCTTGAGTAGAGTGATCTCGCCTTGGAGAGACCTGCCTGTCCCTCCTGCCAGCTGCCCCTGGAGCTCGGCCACTGTGTCATTGAGCTGCTGGAGCAGAGCAGTATGGCTGGCCACCTGGTGTAGGAGGGCCTCACTCCGGCTCTGCCAGGCTTTCACCTCCGCGACCAGGCTGTCCAGGTTAGCCGAGGTGGTGCTGGGGGTGCACGAGGTCTCCAGAGACACCAGCCGTTGTTCCAACACTGCCAGCTCTGTCTGCACGAAGGGCCGCCCCGACCTGCCCAGTGGGGTGCTATCCTGACTTAGCTCCCCAGCCAGTGTCACCAGACGCTCCTCTAGGCTCTGCACGCGCTCCTCCAGCATGCTCCCGAAACTGCCTACGCCCCAGCCCCCCATCTCCATTCTCAAACAGCAGCCTCTTACTCCACTGTCTGTCCCATTGAGGGTCTCCAGGCCCTCCAGCAGCCCATCCACACCTCCATCGAGCATGGCAGCAGACAGCTGGGTAAGCTCATCCCCCGCTGGGGCACCATGGCCTCTTTGGGTCTCAGTGATGGCCTGCAAGTTCCTCTCGAGGCTGTCCACACGGGAACTGACCAAGGCCAGCTGGCCACAGCAGCTGCCCCCACCAGTTGCACTCAGACCCTGTAGCCGGGTCCCCAGCTGTGAAAGCTCCCGGCGCAAAGCCAGCTCCCGGCCATCGAGGCTCTGGTGCAGCCTCTGGCTGGCCGCCTGACCCTCCTCACACTGCCGCCGCACTTCCTGTACCCGGAGGTCACACTCGCTCTGGACTCCTTGCAGCTTCTGCTCAAAGCCATCCAGCAGGCTCCCCCAGAGTCGGTGCAGCCTGTGGTCCACGTACTCCCCTAGTAGGGCCAGGGAGGTGAGGGGGGATGGTGGGGCATCCTGCAGCCGCTGCAGGTGGGCCTCATGGCCAAGGGCCAGCCCATGCACCTGGTCTAGCAGCTGTACCTTGGTCCGCAGAGTGTTGCTCACCTCAGTCACTTTGCTCAGGATCTCCTCCAGGGTGGGGGTGAGTGGCCTTCCGGCTCTGTCTCCTGGGTCAACAAACCCCTCGGGGATGACCCCAAAGCCCACAGGGGCAGAAGGAGCCCTGGGGCCACCAGGCATCCTGTTGGGGTCCTCATGATGAGCCACCAATCCGCTGAGGGTCCCATATGCTTGTGCCAGGCGCTGGACATCACCCTCCAGGCGTTCCAGCCGCTCGCCAAATAGCCCTGGGCCTTTCCTTCCTGGGAAAGAGAACCCCAGGGGCATCACTGGCATGGCTCTCTCTGTTCAGCATGTCACCAAGTCACCCGAGAGTTTCTGTTCTAAGCCTCCCTTCTTGCTGGAAGGGAGTTCCCTTGGCTCTGCAGCAGGTGTGATTAGGGGGCCTGGAGGCTCATCCTCATGTCCGACATGAGAAGTCCCCTCTTCCCCTCCCAGAGCTCAGTCCAACAAGCTCAGTCCCTTCACTACCCCCACTACTGAGCCTGAGAGCCCAGATCACCTTGGAGGGTCTCCACTGCAGACTCACCGTGGGGGCTGGAGGCCACTCTGCTATATGGAGAAGGCCTGGGGCCAGGACCCAACTGTCCTGAGGGAATATGCGGCTCAGGCTCCAGCTGGGGAGGGGCGGCACCTTGGTCTGTGAGGTGCTCAGGGCAGCCTTCTCCAGCGAGGCCAGGGCAGCAACGCCAGGCGAGGTCCGTCACTGTCTTGTAGCCGACCTTGTATTTAGGTCTGAGCACCGTGCGGTACCTGCATGGGGTGGGCGAGAGGGCAGGGTCCTGCACCTGTGGGCTGAGGCTCCTGCCTCCTGGTAGGTGACCCCGCTCCCAGCTGGCATTCAGGACTGCTCTCATTAACTTGCAAACATTAACTTGCATAATGTTTGGAGGTCTCCCTACCTTCAGGTCACCTCACCTCTGGGGTTCTCCTTTATCTGTGCTTAAGATGGCAGGGCACTAGGGTGGGGTCAGGCGTTTGTGGCACTCAGAGTCATGTAAGGGCAGGATGCAAGGGGACGGATCCGCAATAGCTCATGCTGCCATGGGACTTCCTCCTGGGGCTTCAGTGGCACCTCAGGGAACTCTGACAAAGCCCCAGCCTGGCCCATATGGGTGTGGGGGGTTACTGCCCTGGAGCAGAGTGGCAGGTCCTCTCATTGCCTGGTGGTCACTCTTGGCCCCCACTAGCTTCCCTTAGCTCTTCCCACTGCTCTCTAGTCTCCTGTGGGAACTCAGCTCTGGTCACAGAGGCTGCCAGAGGAAGGGCACCTTGGATTTGAGCAGGGAGGAGGTGGTGCAGGGGTGCTCCCTCAACTGTTCAGCCATGCACCTGCTCACACAGATACCTTACAGCCAGAAGGTTTGTTCGCAGACACACAGTTGAACCTCTCCCAGTGCAGACTGGCAGCCCATCTGTGTGCAATGCCAGTCCTCTCATGCAGCCCCTCTTGGCCACTTGAGCTGCTGCCCCTCACCTGGGAACACCTTCTCACTGTCACCAAAGGTCCTCCCTGGGCCTGCCTGGTCCTCCCCACCCCAACCCTCTGCCTGTCACTTCCTCCTAGCCTTGTGTTGCTTGTCCCCCCAGTTCCTGGGCTCCAACCTGAGCCTGCTCCTGTTTCCATAGGCAAAGCCCTGCTGTAAGTTCAAAACCTTGGGAGTCCTCCCCAGCCCCCTCCTTCCCAGGTCCCAGTCCCCTCTGCCTGTGTGGGGGCTTGGGTGGGCTCTCTGGAGTTTAAAGAGCTACAGCCCTTGTGGAATTGGCTGCCTCTCAGCTGAAGGGGGAGCTGGGGTTGTAGGTGGGATGGGGGGTGCACTCACGTGACTGTCCCGGGGCACTTGGGCCCCCATCCACACTGCCGATATTCAGCCTTTGCATAGCTCTCTGCTCCCTCCTGTAGGACGCAGGTCACGTTCCTGTGCACCACGTAGGCACAGAGGGCCCTGCGGGGGGGAACATGGGATATCGGCCCTGAGCCAGGTCCACAGAGTGGCCTTTCCTTTCCCCCCCATCATGGGCCTCAGCAGGGGACCAGACCTCCATCTCTCTTTTGTTCCTTCTCCTTGTTTCTGGGAGTTAGAGTCCTCAGCCTGGGGTCCAAGGTCTTCTGAGCAAACACCAGCCCCACTGCAGCTCTCTGCTCCCAGCCTCCCTGACGGGTGACCACTGGGCTCAGCACTACACTGCACCTTTGCCGTCTGGCAAGAGACCACCCTGGGTACCCCTTCAAGTGCCTGGCCACATTACCAACCCTCTGACTCCTTCATTCCATTCGCCTTCCCTTAGCATTCCAGGCTTCTGGGCACCCACCTCAGTGACTCCTTTGAGGGCAGGCTTCTCACCCTTCCTCCCCTGGCTCCTGAGGAAACGCAACTCTCCATGTAGGTTTTTGGCCCCTGCCTTTGTCCCCCTTGCCTTACTTTCAAACCTGTTCTTGTACTGCCTCCTCCAAGAAGCCTACTCTGATGTGCCCAGGCCCACTGAATGCTGGCTATGAGCTGGCCACTTCCCTACAATTCAGCTAGAGTTCCAATTCAATTAGCACCCGAGGCAGAGCCTCCAACCCACCTGAGGCTGGTTCCAAGCTACTGCCTACTAAAGACCAGAAGCTGGGCAGAGGCTGGGCCAGCAACCTCCCTGACAGGCCACAAAGGTCAAGACGCTGGCTGCCTGTCATGTGCTCACTAGCACAGACGGCTCAACACGGGCCCAGGACCCAGGAGCCTGGTCCAGTTCTGCCGCCCAGCCACGCTAGGGCTCCCAAGGGGTTCTGAAGCCAGGCTGACTGGAAAGGGGCGCAAAGATGCCAGCAGCGCGGCTCCATCTCCCACCTGGCGGGACAAGGGAGAGATGGGAGGCCCGGCGCGGGGTTGGGTGGGGGAGCCCCTCGTGGCCATGCGCGGCGCGCCCTTCCTCCTCTCCCTCCACCTGGTCTGCTGCGCCGGGAGTGAGCACACAGCACGCAGCGCAGCTGGAAAATGTTACTTTGCTGGAAAGGTTTCCACGGGCACTGCCAGGATCCCAGCCGCCGCGCCAAGCCCCCTCGTCTTATTTTCTTCGCCAGCCCCGCAGCCTCCGGCAGCGTAGGGCGCGGGTCGGGGCCGGGGT